TATTTCTAAATACACCATGTAATGGTAGATAAACTTGTAAATGCAATGGCAACATCGCGATCAAAATATCAAAAAATAACATCAATTTAAATATAATGTTAGTGTTACCATTGGACCATTGTTATTCTAAATGTAAATTGGCATTAGTTTAAAAAATCGACGAGTTTCTAGTTTTTAGATTAAGATGAGAATTTAGAAACTTACTAAAGATAATTTAAGCCTGTAACCTTAAACATTACTGAATCCTTTGCTATTTATTATATTATATAATTAAAACAACAAATATATTTCACTAATTGTCATAAAATATTAGTTTAAGAAGACATAATCATACCAAACTTAATTAATTTACTTAAGAAGCATGTAAATAATAAAATAACTGACTTTAGTAAGGAAATATTAACCTCATACGATCAAATAACCAATTAACATTTATTTTAAAATTACTAACAATAATGTTGCCATTACACAAAATTAGTTACAAAAAAGTAACATTTCTTACACAGCAACTAACAAATGCAATAACTGCTAGGCACATACTAAAACACTACTAACAAAACAATGTAAATTCGTTTAATATCGTCAAATATCTGTGTTATACTTTATATTTAAGACTTATTTATCTATTTCTAAGTACTTGAGACATAAAAATATGTTTTCTGTAGCAAAATTGTTTATTGTTTTGGATTTCAAAATAAACGTGCAGTAACACGTGTTACTTGTTACACAATTTGTTATAGGAAATATATTTCTATGTTTCAAATTATAGAGTATCTTCTAACGGCTAATGCGAACTAGTGTAAAACTTTTTATTTTCTAGTATTTGTACATTACTTATTGAAAGTCCTTTGTACCTAAACGGTGCCAAATTGTGAATACTAGCGATTCAATTGGTCTGTAAATATAATTATAAGTTACAATGCAATCTAAATTTGCTCAATTATTCTCCTTTTATATTACTTAAGATTAATAATGTATGGCAACACAGTACCTATATACAAAAGTGAATTAATATGCGTATTATAATTTAATCTTTGGTGAAAAAAATGCAAAATTAAAGTATAAAAGGGTGTTGCCACTTTTTTTTTATAAAATTACCTTGTTACCATCATTGAAATACATTATTTTAATACAATAAATGTAATCTTATGTTATTCTTAAACAAAATGTATACGGTAGGGTTCAATAACATTTATGTAAAGCTTTTAAATTATATTCAAATATATTTTTATATTATAGTTTACTTATTACTTTGTAGGGTAACAAGGATATGAAGTATTATTCAAGTAGCGAGCAAATCTCTAGCGTTTGAAATAAAACTTGGAAATTGTTTTGTACATACAGATACTTGTAATATATACAATCGTGAGGTGTCAGTGTGTGCGGTTTGTAATGCGAGTGAGTGTGTAATGTATTTAGAAAAGCTCATGTTTACATTGTTATATGCGGCTTGTAAGAATTGAAATAAATTTTATATTATTATTAAAAAGGTGTTTATTTGAAACATCCCCTACATTTAAAATTAAGATAAATCGTACGCCTACAAAAGTATCTTAACGATCAGGCAACACTGTTCGTTTTTAAATCTAAATCGTTATCATTTGTCAATGTCGAAAAACTTTATGAAGAAAATGGATGAGACAAAAAAGATTAGAA